CGGGAACTGTTTGCTTTAAGGCAGCGATAAATAACAAAGACATCCTCATCTTGCAGTGGGTGATCGCTCTGTGGGACTCGTTGCCCCAGGGCAGTGCTGACACTGGAAGCTTAGCAGGATACACATTCACGCATAATAAAAAAATAATCTGTAGAAAAAAAAACAAAACTATTTTTGTTTCCATGTTTCACAACATAAGCTAATTCTATGAAAACAGCCAGAAACTTCCTCCATAAGCAGATTATTGCAAGACTGGCTCTGAGTGACATCTTACGCCTTCCTCTGCGATATCTGGCCTGGGCCATTGCTGGAGACAGGCTGCAGAGGGATGGACTATTGATTTGATTCTCCACTTTAATATCCGTTCCCCAACTGACTTTTCCTTCATGATGTCATACGAATAATGGAAGGCAGAGCATTTTTCCCAAGCCAGATAAGTGCTCCTATCTCTCTATTAAGAGTTTGGAATACCTCGTTTGCTATCACACTTGGGAAGATACAGCACAAATAACCGAAATCTAATCAAGATTTTCCTTAATTTCCAAAAAGGCTGCTGCAGAGTTCAGCTGCTTTTTTTTATTGATGGTGGTAGTAAGCACAGACGCCACTTACCATGAAGACGTTTTTACATAGGCAAAGCTATTAGAATGATTTATAATGTTATTGTCTTAAACTGCAGTTTTGCTGAAAGCAACAGGAGAAAATTGTGTGCATCATGGGTAGCTTGGGTTTGCTCCTCTTTTGTAAGAGCCGTTATTTTAGTCTTCTAATCATTAAGATTTACGTTACGTAGGCGAGAAGTATTGTAGGTATATCACTTATTCAAGTGTTTTTCAGAACAAAAATGAAGCATTATGTATCCAGCCACTTACAGGAGATGTCCTGATACCATGACGATGAATACAGTAGAAGTAGAGCAGAACTGTGTCAATAACTGTAAATACACCCTGCAATTCTTTCTTTTAAAATGTTATGTTTGTGGAAAATCTGTTGGCTGCTGGTGCTGACTTTCTCCTCCTATTTGATAAATTACCTTAAAAGTCAGATAAGCACACAAAAATTCCTTCTTGGCATGCCTTCTGCAGGCCAGTGGTGCCTCGGCTTGTCCCAAGACTTACAGCTAATAAGGAATGCAGCTGTTGTGAGATGGTGGAAATATTTTTCAGCAGTCTCAGAGCATGGAAAATCATGTAGACCTGGGATCATGATGTTCCCCAGCAGCTCAAGTGGAGTGAGTCAAGATCCAAGCATATTTGAGGTTCCTCTGAAAACAGGGCCTATGCTCCTCAATCGCTAAGGTCCTTCACTGCTTTATAGGCAGCCTGTGCATACAGCAATAGCCCATGCCCTCTGAAAAGGTATGCCAAAGCTCTACCAGGAGGCTTAGACCTACTTTTCTGATAGACATGTGAAGTTTCCACCTGTATTTGCATGCAGATAATATATACTGTATGCTCCCTTTCACAAGGCTAGGGTTTCCAAAGGGTCTGGAGGCCAAGAAAGCAGATATTACAGAGGATATTTTCTCCAAGCAACTGAGTGGGACAGGTGTTCACACCTTAGAGTAATGAGCTCATTTCTCTTGGATTCATTGCAACAAGAAGAAAAAACCCACCCTTTTCCAACCTAAAGTGATTTTTGGATGTCTAGTTAATACCTATTGCATGTGTCATATATGTGTCTCAAGCCTCCTAATTCTGGAGGTTTCATAAGACCAACTTTATAGGTGCCACCAGCTACTTGCTCACAGCAGGCAAGTCAGTGCTATGAGCTGTTGCACAGACTGTGGTTATTGGTCTCCAATAAACTTCAACAGAAAGAAGACATTCAACTAGGTAAATCATCATGTCCACTTCGCATTAAAAAAGGGCTGATGAAAACCATTTTATACTGCCTTTTAGTCATCCTCCTCAAACATCGTGATGTTAGTCATCAACTACACCTTCAACATGAACAGGATGTTTGAT